CCACACCAGCCCGCACACTGCAACCACCATACTCCATGAGGCCCATAACGCTCAACACGCCCACACCGCACGCACAACTGCACAGATTCAGCACATATCCCAGGTCCATGCACGCCCAACACCCACACCATACACGCCCAACTACCCCCACACCCACGCACTCCTACACCCATACCCATATACACCCGTTCACACATGCACACACTATGACACACCTTTACTCCTACGCACACCCACGCGCTCGTAAGAAAAACAAAAACAACCTACCTTATACCTCCTGCCTCGGGGCACCCATTGAATGTCTTCCATAAGAAAGAGAAGCGCTATCACATGCAGTATCACGTTAGATTGATGCGGCAGCACCAGTACGTTTTCACCTTTTTTTCTGAAGTTTTCATTTAACAGTTCCCTTATTACACCCCCACATCAGCGGACAGGCAGGCATACCGACATACACTCTATATCTCAGAAGAGGGGAGGGCGTGGCTCCACACCTGATTGAACGTGGCAGCAGTGCGCTCTCGGACGGATATTAACATTTCTGGACAATTATAATCATGTCTTCGTTCAGCACAAGACAAGATGAGAGTTCCCTCAAGTGGGAACTGCGTGGAAAACGCATTCTACGCAATATTCAAATGAAGTGCGCAGCCACACCTCTCCCATTTCTAGGATATGGAGTGTGCGGCAACATGCTCACGAATCAGCAGCGGAGCGGTTATGTTTTATAAAGTGGAGAAGATTATTGTGGTTCATTCTTAGTTACGGAATGAATCACGAGTTGAGCACTATTGGCAGATTCCTGCGATTCAGTGGAAGCGATGGACGAAGAACAAAACATTGATCAATCTCATTGGGGTTTACGCCACACCCTGCACTCCACTTCAGAAACCCAGTTACCTTTGGATGCAACTTGGCTTCATAGATAGAAACCAACTGCCAAATTAGCTGTAAGGTGCTTTGTTTCAACTCCACAAGAGGTTGTCAACCCAGCTTTAATAGCCTACAGAGACAGGAATTTGCAAAACTCAACAGGATGTCAAAGTAGAAATTTTCCGCCTTCAAATGATGAATCCCACTTGTGACAGACTCATCATATCTCCTTCTTTTCTACCTTACTAATTGTGCCTAGGAGTTCTATTAAAGACCGCAGAAGATGGTGTGCGGTGCAGGAATGCTGCACTAACTGCCTGTCGGTTCACTGGCGAAATGTTACATTTTAAGTAGGCGCTGTTCGCCTCAGAAAAAGCACCTTGCCAGTTTCTAAAATTTCTTCACCTCGGCAATTCCTATTAACTGTTCCTAGGTTATTCAACGGAGTAAGCCTGCTCATGCCGAAGTGTGATAGGGGTTTCGGAAAAGGGTGCAGTAAAGGGTAAATAGTGCAAAACCGTCTTAACAGTCTGAGGACAACCGCTATGGTAAGGTGGATGGTTCAGAAGTGCAGCTGGCCATATACCACTTTCTTCGCCTCAACGAGCAAAGGAACGCGACCGGGTGCCGCATCTCGATTCCGCCCGCGCTTTGCTCAAGGATGTAGTACTGATGTCGCTAGCAAAATCCCAAAGTGAACACGCAGTCATAGGTAGAAAAACAACCAGAAGTGGGAGAGCGCAGAAATGTGGAGTTGGCCAAGTTTATGCGTCTGGCTGGGCGTGCGAAAGTGCACAGGAGGCTGACTGTGCTTGACTATCGCTACCCTCTGGTACATACCTTAACGTGACACTCTACTGCTCTCTGTGGATCTTTTCACCTCACACATGGGAAGCAGCTGGACCAACGGTGACCGTGCAGTTTCTCTTCACTTAGAAGAATCACGACAGTTTGCTACAAAATAGTCACTATGAGCGATTACACGGCCTACAGTCTCGAAGGCAGCATATAGTAGGAGCGAGGTACCGCGTCAAAATAAGGTTCCTTTGCACCCCCTTTATAGGTGACAAGAAGAGCGCTGCAATCCGAAATAGTATAGTAAGAGCACAGTTCTAGTACTATGCCAAGTGGTGAACGTATCCAATGGAAACATCAAACGGCAACTAGTTCGTGACAAACTCTACGACAAGCAGCGCATATCATAAAATCTGTTTTTTGCACCCTGAAACTGTTGAAAAATTGCTGACTGCAAGCAGATAGCCAATATTCGTGATATCAATGCCACGTAGTACTCCACAAATACGGGAGGGCAAAAAAAACGTCACTTCGTTCAAGTCACATATCAGCAAAGTTTTCGCTGCCCAGAGAGAAGACCTGGATACGGTACCAGGGCGAAAGATACCCAAGATGTTCTTCGATAAGCAGGAGCTGGCCCTCGCCCATCACCTTCATGTACACCAAAATATGAAGTCATCTCCAGTCGCAGCCTGACTGGAGAAGACCTTTGGAATTCATGTCACCTCCAAACAGCTGCGAAACTTCTAGTGTGGAGTCACCATGGATAGCTACCTGGAGACCAGTACTCTCGATCTGGATGACCTCCAACATCGAGCAGCTCCGACAACGTCGCTACGGTCTAGGACATCATCTTCACCCGTAGTCGCCAATGGCGTGCTGATGTTATGTGGACCGGACGTTAAGCTGGGAATGGAAACCGTAATCTTTCTTCGTGGGCCCAGACTGAAGGTGAGCGCTGGCATTGGCTTTACATTGAGCAACTCGTGAAGAATATCCTCCTCACATGTCGTTGCCCGTACCTTCTTGGAAACTTTGTACTGCTACAGGTGCCACCACATGGAATCGAAGGGCGTTGGAGAAACTCTCGCCTACTTGGAATGGAAGGGGGCTGAGTACCTAAAGAAGATGGAATATCCAAGTAGGTCACCTGACCGCTTCCTCCTCATTAAGCCAGTTGGCGGAGTTCAATAGGGTGTCTATCGGTGCGGAGAAATCGACTATCTCGCTGATCTCAGGCACCACATCGCGGTCGCGTGCCAGAATCTCTCGATGGCGCTCGTCCAGAAGGCTGTGGCGGAGTGTCATGATAGTATTTAATATGCTCTTTAATATGGTGGTAAATGTCCGATCAGAATTAATAAAGTGTAACTTATAGCGCCTCGAAAGTCAATGAAGAAAAGTGACTTTTTTGCCCCCCCCCCCCTTGTATATGGGGAAGGTACAGCGTGAGCATGCTGAAATGGCTAATCAGTAACACCACGAACCCTCACAGAAAAGATCCCTGGTACGACACGAACCCCCCGCCCCTTCCGGCTCTAATTGCTTGCTCTGATGAGAAGGATTAGATACATAGCGACTGCCAGGCGCTTGCGGACGCGTTATGATTCCATGGCAAATTAGCGGTGGAGCAGATCTGTTAGCCAGATGGAGATGGTAAGGCTTTTCACTGGGGGTGATAGCTCTTGCAGGTGTGGGGCTTTTGAGAAACGGAAGGCGACATTTTGAAGCAATGTCTCTACTGTTGCGTTTTCTACCTACTCGCAATCTGAATCTTCCCCGTTCGTGAAATATTTCGGATGGGTTCGGACACGTTGATGGTAAATCGCGAGCGGGTTTTTATGCTTCAGACGAGAATAACTTCTTTCAACGCAATCTTTGGCTAAACTAAGAAAGCCATCAGAACTCCCAATATCTCCTCTTTCTGAAAAGCTCCACAGTTTTCCCAACCCGCTTGTTTATAAGATATTTTAGGTGGGTCACCCTTGGGCGACATTCTGAGCCACTCAAAAGCTCGACTCCTTCTGTGCCATTGTAAGGATACTCATTCGCGAACTTCAATATGCCTTCAAAACACATATTCCCGTTGAACTGAGTCAAAGCATAATTTGGTTATCATCGATCGATTTGGTCCGAGTGTGCGCCGTGCATTACGCTTCTACGCAGAGGTGGTGGAAAGGTGTAAATTCTGATTTCAGGTGCTTTTATCCATGCAAGCAGATGTTTGTTTAGGGTTTGGAAAGGACAATACGCACGAATCTGTTTGAGATGTATTATTTAGTCATCTACGTACTTACGAGTTCATGCTAACTATTGATATTGCTAATCAATTGTTTTAATATTTTGTAGTCTTCCTTACATCCGGGTCCACTGCGGTTTTCCTTCAAAGTTAGCGATAAAAACACTTTTGCTGTTTAGTGCTCACCGAGCCTGCGGGGGGAGGTGGGATATAATCTGAATTGACTGCTCCTTTCTGACACAAGAGACAGAAACATCAACAAGAAAAACATTGGAAACATTTGACGTTAGCGTCCGTGTGACTGTGCGGCCATTTCTAGACGGGCGGTTGTGGCGAGCGCCTGGGTCGGCACCTTGGTGATTCGCTACAACGGTGCCCTAGGTTGGAAAAGGCGCCACAGCGCCTACGCCTATGAGCGCAATATTCTTTCGTGCTAGATGCATCGAGCCTGTACGCCTTGACGATTTATCGTGCAATATATTTATGCAGAATAAGACATAAAATCGCGCCTTGATACCCGATTTTATATCCTGTTCCACACACATATTAATGCTGAGTCGGGCAATAAAGTGCAAAAAGTTCCAATATGAGATGTGCTGATTTCCCCGTTTAGGCGTATTACGTATACACTCCCCTCCGCCCACTCGGCCCCTCCCTGCCTGATGACTCTGATGGGTCGCGGTTTCAGTACTGGTGATAATTCCCAGGAAGTGGGAACTCTCCACTGAACGGGATGCCGGGGTGGGGTTTTCGAAGGCTCCTTGATGAAGTGGATGAGCCTTGTTTGGGCAAGGGGTGCGATTTTTCCGAGCGTACCCCTGAGCACTAATTTTCTTCAACGAGTCCTCACCACACGCTTCACAGCCACGGCAATCAACCCATTTATTTGAAAACTGAAGGCTCAACATTTCCAAGGATTTTCACAAGTATTGTGAATTTGCATAGCAATGGTTCTATACAGTTGTAAATTGAGAATAAAAGTTCATTCTGACATTATCAAGTACGATTGCAAAGTAAAATGCTAGATGACTAGATGAAGACATTCCGACAGAATCACTGACAATGTCACGACACGTGGTGCATGGTGGACCACTCAACCCAAGGTGACGCGGAATGGGCCACCATCAGGAACATTTTGTCCCTGGCCATCCGTGACAGTTGTCGTTCCGTTAACCGTTTTGTAGGTGAAACGTTTCAATTGCCAACTTTTTTTTGATTGCGGAATTGCTTCTGGATCTCGTTCCGTTGATATCGACAATCGTGGTCGAAGTAGAGACTGAAGTCACTCCTGGGAATGTTGCATTGTATCGTTTTCCGCCAATCTCTGCTGAAACCTGTTGTGGTGCCATTATTGGTGTTGATAATTACACCATTGCCGCCAAACGAGAACAAGGTGCTCGAAGTTTTTCCATAGATTATCCCACCAACCACCAAACCAACTATGACCGAATACTCCGCCCTGAAAACGGTTTTTTAGCATCATGTAATAAATAAAGAAGATCCAGTTTATTTTTTTTAAGTCGCAGACTCTCCTCTTCCGGCTTAGGGTGGAGGATTAATCGTTCCTCATGGCTAAGCTTGTGGAGACCTTCTTGTGAAGATTTGTAAAAAGAGCACAGCTTTTGTTGGGTTACAGAGTCGTATTGATCGCCCGGATGAGCGAGAGTCGTAATTTAGACCAGAAATATTTTCTTGATGTTTGAGTTTTTTCCTTCTTATCAGGGAGCGTTGTGAGGAGGGATCGTACATTTGGTCACGTTGTTAGGAAGGGGGATCGTATTTCCCTTCGGATGTTCTGAAAATGTTGCCGAGTTTCTGTTGTTTTCCTGATTCATATGTATTATATACCCTCCCCCCCTGCTCGAAAATTTTGGGTAAAAGTAAAAAAATTTCCATTAAATTCCGGAAAAGTAGTGGGTGGAAGATGGGGAAAATTGAAGGAGTGGTAGAGAATATTATAGTGGTATTTCTCTACTTCCTCGGTCTGTCGTATTTTCCTCGCGGTTTATTCCGCCGCTCGACACACGATGAGGGGGTAACCAGGCGGAGGAGGGGGAGCGGGTGGAAAGGGATGGGAGGGGGGGGTCGTGTGGAACTCCGAGGCAAATCCCAATCAATGATGTGCCCTGCCTATAAATTATTGTGACCAATATGTTTGCTGGCAAAATGGTGCAGCTTCACAGGATTATGCAGGTTTCCACAGTGACACCTGTTATTCAACATGAACTAACAAATGGATTTGGCGAAAGTGCAAAATGCTCCCTCCAAAGCCGAACAGCGCCAAAAAATGAAATCGCAAACCGAACTCCCCCTTAATCGGAAGAGCATTTTTCATAAAAATGGACAGCCCAAAGACATCATAACTCACGTTGAAATCGGGGTCGGATGTGAGCAAATCGTGCTGGCCGCAGGCCTGAAACGCATTCGACTGATTTCGTGGCAGAACGAAGACGCCTATCTTTCGATGAAAGAATACGGTATGTTAGTCATACCTGGGTGATGACAAGGATGATAACAGGTAGCACTGCAGTGTAGAACATATCCACAGTCGATGCTTTGACACGCTAACAATGGACATTTATACAGCCGTGAGTCGAAATCGATTTATGATTACTCATCCAGTAAACACCAATGACGAACTAACACATCGTCAAAAGAAATCCCTGAAAAGGGCTTGTATGTGGAATATTACGAAATCATTGTCAACGACCTCCCATTATTGATAGAATCTCGATTTTACCATCACCTGCAAATTCCAGTGATTCAGCAAAAAGATGCATACAAAGCAAAGAGCGTTGATTAGTCTCGTTTGGGGAAACGCTGAGCGCCGCATTCGCTTCAAAATCCTAGTGGCACTTGAATGCAATGAAACCATCAAAGGCACTTGGCACGAATAAATTATTTAAGACGAGTAGGATTGATACGCCTGAATTCCGCCACCCTGAGCAGGCGCTGCTAGCGCCTTTTCCAAGGAAGGTACCCTTATAAGGCCCTATCAAACTGCAAGATACTGACCCGGACGCCCTCAAATGGACGACTGCACCTGATGCCCATATTACTTCATTTCAGAAGCATTTAAAATGTGAAGCGAAGGAATTGATATGAAGCGGCGGAGGTGCTGCATGAATACAGGGAGGGCCAAAAAAAGTCACTTTTCTTCATTGACTTTCGAGGCGCTATAAGTTACACTTTATTGAATTCTGATCGGACATTTTACCACCATATTAAAGAGCATATTAAATACTACTCCGCCACAGCTTTTCTGGACGAAGCCCATGAGAGATTCTGGCAGCATGCGACCGCGATGTGGTGCCTGAGATCAGCGAGATAGTCGATTTCTCCGCCACCGTAGACCACCCTATTGAACTCCGCCCGAACCGGGTAATTGAAGGGATTCAGGTCAGGTGACCTACTTGGATATTCCATCTTTCTTTAGGTACCCAGCCCCTTCCATTCCAAGTAGGCGAGAGTTTCTCCAACGCCCTTCGATTCCATGTGGTGGCACCCAATGCTGTAGCAGTACAAAGTTTCCAAGAAGGTACGGGCGACGACATGTGAGGAGGATATTCTTCACGAGTTGCTCGATGTAACCGCCAGCGCTCACTTTCAGTTCGGGGTCCACGAAGAAGATATTGGGTCGCATGATTCCATTTTAGGTAGCGTTCCGGTCCATACCCTATCCAACCCGCGCCTTGGCGACTCTGGTGAAGATGATGTTCCTAGACCATGGCGTAGTTGTCGGAGCTGCTCGATTTGGAGGTCATCCAGAGCGAGAGTACTGGTCTCCAAGGTAGCTATGTGACCCCATACTGGAAGTTCGCAGCTGTTTGGAGGTGACGTGAATTCCAAAGGTCTTCTCCAGTCAGGCTGCGACTGGAGATGACTTCATATTTTGGTGTACATGAAGGTGATGGGCGAGAGCCAGCTCCTGCTTGTCGAGGAACATCTTGGGTATCTTTCGCCCTGGTACTCGTATCCACGTCTTCTCTCTGGGCAGCGAAAACTTTGCTGATATGTGACTCGGTCGAAGTGACTTTTTTTTGCCCCCCCCCATCGCTGTTATGAGAAACATACGTACGCACTACCGTGGGCGGTTTCTGGATATGACTGCGGGAAACTCGTCCGAAATGCTTTTTGGGTCATGAAAAAACGAAGGCTTTCTTCGCAGGTTTGTTGACCGTTTCAATATAACGTTTATCAGCCATTGTTCCCCATGCTAGCATTTTTAAAGCCTGGAGTATCCAAACTGCCGTGCAACTCCTATTATTGAAAATAATGTAAGGCGTTGTGATTGGAATCTGGGATTATTTCCTCCAGATGCAGTTGTCTCTATGCTGGACTGCTCTTGAATTTGAAGTGATTTATGAGGGCAGAGTCACTCTGATCTTTAGTTTTCAATTCTGACAAAGCGGCTAGCTGAACCATAAGGCCAATTGTTATGGCACCCTTGGCTGTGACAACAACTCAACTTCGCCAGGCAAGACTTTCAGGATGATGAGGTTTTCTGGACAGCTGGATATGGAGGACGGGGCACGTCATATACAGAAGGGGCAGTTGGCGAGAAGTGGAACTTTTTTGAATTCCAGAAAAGTGGACGTGCCCTGATGGAGGATCATGTAAAGGCAGTGATACTATATTCCCAAACGAATCACATCAATCTGGATTCTATGAGTAGAGGTGAAGCAGGCCACATCATCGCTTCTTTTAACTCGCGGCGCTACTTACCCTTTACTGCCCTAATCACTCGAAATCAGGCCAGTTTTTAAACGACTTCTTTCTGCGTCAAGAGATTTGCATTCCAAAGGTAGTTTGGCCCCCTGAACACGCATATCTCATTGGTTTGGCTCGAACCCCTTGGTGCCATCGCCAGCCACCGTAGTACCCAGATTACAAGACTCTTGTCGCGTACTTCGATCTTCCTTGACACCCAAACACAACACTTGCACAGAGAGGCATTTTAAGAAAATTAAGGATTAAATAAAGGGGTACATGTGACAGCAAAGCCTCTTGTACTTGCCTGCCCCCTTTCCCGACTTGATCTTCTAATCTGCTGGGTGTTGCCTTTTTTGTCGTGTCTCTCTAACTGCCCTAGCGATCTCTCGGCACGAAGCCGAATGAGTTCGTGCTGCACGCGCCGGGGTCGAAACAAGCGCCGCTTACGACTCACGTTTTAGGTATTCTCAGACAAACGGAAAAGATTCTATTCTGTTTAAAGGGTCAAACTACCACTCTGGAGAAGGAAGTTCTCAAACAAATTCGGTGTTCAGGGTATACTGGCGCCGGCGTTAGTAGCGCAGGCGCCAAACGGTTTCGGGCTGAGAGGAGGTGATATGGGGTAGACTATCCCTGATGACAAATTTTGATCACATCTGTCCACGGAGGAAAATTTCGGAAAAAAGTGGCCTGATTTTAAGCGATTGGAGCAGTAAATGGCGAATAGTGCCTAACTTCCTTAGTCACATCATTTCTCTTTATCTCTTGTACGGGATTCTGTGAAGGACTGAAATGTGTTTTGGAGAGACTCACTTGCCATTGCGCAATATATGCTTCAATGAGGGCAGCATATCAAAAGGGACTGATCTGTGGTGAAGGCCTTTATCTTTTTATTAAACCCCATATTAAACCCCACATTTGGGGACTGGGCAAGGGGCTGTTGTACTAGACTACTCTCTGCTGTTGTGCTAGACTACTCGCTAAGTCTAGACCACTCGCAAAGTCACTTTCCTCTGCTGCTGAGCAGTATTGGAGCTTATTCGTCCCACTTTTTTAATGCTCTCATATTCTCACAGTTCCCTTTAAGCTACCGTATCTTTCGGCTTGGAGGAGACTCAAAAGCCCCAGCATTCATGAGAGGCCATTACTCTATTAGGAGTCTCTGATTACCTATCTTGGAACTTCCGCACTATTCAGTATTGACTTGTTTCTGAACTTCTGCCTTGAGGTTCCTAGGTCGAGGCTTAAACCCTGAACATGTCACAAAGCTTAGAAGTTGCCTCCGTGGGAGGCGTTTTTCCCTTAGATACTTCCTTCGACGTCTCAGGAGCCTCGGACGTCATCACGCTGTCTAGGTAAGCTAAGTCTATTGAAAGCAAGTGGGGCGCAGTCTAGTCATGACGCGGCAGGGGCAGGACCTATTCACTTCCACGCAGTAGCATGGTAGTAGACCCATCTTAGGGCCAGCATTTCTCGAGTTGACCATGTTATAAGAGATAGTGAGACATAGGAACGATACTTAGTCAAGACATAATTCACAATAGAGTTCAACAGGTTTTACAGATGATAAGATTTTGTATAGAGAACATGAGCGAAATAGAGCAAATCGAATAATAACAAAATGACCCCCCGTGCGACAAATAGGCGCACAAGCACAAGATGATAACTATTAATCCCACAAGCGTGCTAAGGGTTAATGCGCTTAGCAGGACAGATTTCAGCGCTGCATGGCGCCTTTTCCAAGGAAGGTACCCTTTCAGCGCCATATTAAGCAGCAACATACCCCACGGCCATAATATACTCGATCTCGGGCAGTTGATTAGGGCGGTCGTCAACGGGCCGCAGCGCGTGCCAGGAACTATTTGCTTTTTCCAGGCTAATTTAGTCATTTTTTCCAACTTCTGCTGTACCTTTTGTGCTAACTTTTTCCAAGTTAGCAGTCATTATCTTCATGAAGGTCGAAGCACATGATTCTAAATGATCTGGAAAAGCAAAGTTTACCTGGCACGCGCTCGCGGCCCCGTTGGCGACCTGACCTATCAACTTGCGAAACCGGATGACGAGTTTAGTACGTAACGGTGCCGAAGCTCGTCACACAACCCTGCTCCAAGAGCTGATAGGAGTACTAACGCGGCCGTAATCTACCGTAAGGGTATATTGGCTTGATGCCACACAGAACTCACTCGTCCACAATTGCTTTCTGCAGTAGCTGATAGAACAAAAGGGACTATTTTAAGGTTTTTAACCATTTCACGGTTCGACTTATTCGACCATGTTTTCCCCATTAAATAGCACCCCTGCTGCCATTTTAGACCGCTTACCAACTATGTGAAGTGTGCTCATACCTCTGCTTTTGCTGTGTGTTCCTGAAATGACATCAAAGTGGGAAGGCGTTATATGGTGATCTACAAGCTTTCTATAACTCTAAAAGCTTTAGAGCAACCATGTTTGGGCCTCCAACAGAAGCAGGGTGAACGTCTGTTGAAGATGTCGCCCAACAACCTCGAGGAGAGTAGCAGAGTAACAGGACAATATCCTTCCAGTGATTGGCTTTTAAGGCTAAATGTCACGGCATCTACGTCAGTATCCGCTTTTTCATCATAAAGATACATTCATAGAAGGATTTGCTATAACGCTGACGTTGTTGTAATGATCACGTGCCTAATGGCGCCACTAAGCCCTGCAGCCGCCCCTGCCACCTCTGTGGCTTTCATCATCGGATAGTCCCCATAGCAACACAATTACAAACACATCCCCATATCACTGTATGTTATCAGACAATCGTCTCATTATTTCATGTCGTCGTCTCATGCTCATGCTGAATCGT